TTTTTAGTAGAGACGGGGTTTCACCGTGTTGACCGGGATGGTCTCGATCTCTTGACCTCGTGATCCACCCGCCTCAGCCTCCCAAAGTGCTGGGATTACAGGCTTGAGCCACCGCGCCCGGCGGAGTTTCGCTTTTGTTACCCAGGCTGGAGTGCAATGGCGCGATCTCGGCTCACCACAACCTCCGCCTCCTGGGTTCAGGCAATTCTCCTGCCTCAGCCTCCTGAGTCGCCGGGATTACAGGCACGCGCCACCATGCCCAGCTGATATTTTGTATTTGTTTTTCTTTATTAATGTCCTTGTATCTATAATCACTTGTGCTAAAGTCACCCATTTTCCCAGGTAATACAAATTTCATATTCTCAGTCCTTACCACTTTACCCCTCACACATAGGCATATATCCATAATGCTACCTTTTTTCTTTTTCTTTTTTTTTTGAGACCGAGTCCACTGTGTCGCCCAGGCTGGAGTACGGTGCCGTGATCTAGGTTCACTGCAACCTCTGCCTCCCTGGTTCAAGCAATTCTCTTGCCTCACCCTCCCAACTAACTGGGACTACAGGTGTGAGCCACCACACCAGGCTAATTTTTGTATTTTTAGTAGAGAGGATTTTACCACATTGGCCAGGCTGGTCTCAAACTCCTGACCTTAGGTGATCCACCTGCTTCAGCCTTCCAAAGAGGATTACAGGTGTGAGCCACTGTGACAGGCCACATGCTACTCTCTTAAAGACAGAGGACCTGGGGGTGTGAGGGCTTGAGGAAGGTGGACATTATTCAGAGAGGTGAGCTCCAGGCTAGGGAAGGGCAGAGCATGCTCTACCTGTGGTTCCCAAACTTGGCTGCTCATTGGAACCACCTGGCAAGGTTTTCAGTCTCTGATAATAGGGGTTCCCCTCACCATCCCCAGCCCCTAAAGACTTTGATTTAACTGGTTTAGTTAGGGCCCGGGCATGGAGATATCTTAGCAGCTCAAGTGATTCTAATGTGCCACCAGGGTTGAGCACCACTGCTCTGTATTATTTGCTGCTTGGTAGTTAGGTCTGTGGCCAAGTTCACAAGAGTTGGATGGAAGAAGAGTAGAAGAGGCAGCAGGGGCAGCTCACACAGTGGCAGGAGGACAGGCTGCAGCACAGATGGATGGACATGAGCAGGTGAGCAGAGTGACCAATCCTGGCCTGAAGTGCCATGGATCACGGATGAGATGATCATGGCGGTGCTAACACAGATGTTCCTAGAGGTCAGATATTTCGTTTTCCCACACGGATGATGGGATGTTCCTGTATGCTGTTGCATCCCATTATTTGCGGTAGTTATGTTCTACAGTCACTGTGAACACCGAATTAGTGAATACCAAGCCATTACTTCTTAGGTTCCTGTGAGTCTCTGGACACAACATTTTCATTACATTATGATTAATACATAACCTTACTCTGCGTGTGTTTCTGTTTAATGGACACCTTATTTAATATATGGCTGATTTATTAACACTGAGTTCACAGCAGGTAAACAGTAGCTCCTGCCAGCAGGACGCTTCTCCAGTGGGCACACCACAGCCTCTGGTGCTTAGCAACAACAGGTAGCACTTCAGCAAGCTCTACGCTTGGGGCCATTTATTTTCTGTTATTTCATGTTATTTTGTTATGCAGGGGGGAGGTTCTCACGATATTGCCCAGGCTGGTCTTGAACTCCTGAGCTCAAGCGATCCTCCCACCTCGGCCTCCCAAAGTGCTGGAATTATAGGTGTGAGCTACTGCACCCAGTTGCTTGGGGGCCATTTTAAATAGCAAAATCACCAACAAAAATCACAGAAGTATGAAAAGCACAAACAAAATGGATAGCAGAAAGGATACCAGAAGGCACAGCATCGCCTTGTCCCACCACAGCTGGGAGGGTGTGCATGGGGCAACTCAAGATCTTTACTGCTCTGGGATGTGCATGTCTGTGAGTGACTGGGACAGCACCTCAAGTAATGATTTTGGGGTTGCAGATAAATTTTAGCAAGTAGGTAAATTCACAAATATGGTATCTGCAAAATGAGGATACACTGTACACAATTGATGTATTCCCACTACTTCACTGTCCTGTGACGCCCATCTTATTCCTTCCTGTCTTCAAAGGCCCGCCTACTCTGTCAAGGAGCCTTGGTTGATTTGCACCCTGCCTCTGATCACTGCCTTCTGTGCTCAATTTAGAGAATACTGGTGAGATAAATCAGTCAATCAATCAATTAACCAATCATTCAATTATTATTATTATTTTTTTAAGATGGGTTTCACCATGATGGCCAGGTTGGTCTTGAACTCCTGACCTCAGGTGATCCACCCACCTCGGCCTCCAAAAGTGCTAGGATTACAGGTGTGAGCCACCGCGCCCGGCCAAATCATTCAATATTAATGAGGTATTTTAAAGCACCCAACATAATTTTTGGGAGGTAGAGTGGGGAACAGATAAATATAAAAAGCAGTGCCTTTCCAAAATGAGTTTTGCAGTAGTTGAGGAGAAAAGGCTAACATAAAACAAGGGCATGCTAAAAAGTACCTAGGCCTATTTAAAACCATCAGATCTAAAAAAAAAAAAAAAAGTACCTAGGTTTAGTTGAAAAGAATGTTGCATACTCTACATGCTATAGATGCTTAGAAAAGTTGCCTATCAAGGCCAGGCACGGTGGCTTATGCCTTTAATCCTAGCATTTTGGGAGGCCGAGGTGGGTGGATCACCTGAGGTCAGGAGTTTGAGACCCACCTGCCCAACATGGCGAAACCCGGTCTCTACTAAAAATATAAAAAATTAGCCCAGCATGGTGGTGAGTGCCTGTAATCCCAGCTACTCTGGAGTCTGAGGCAGGAGAATCACTTGAATCCGGGAGGTGGAGGTTTCAGTGAGCTGAGATCGCACCTTTGCACTCCAGCCTGGGCAGCAAGAGCAAACCTCCATCTCAA